AGATTACAAGGTCCTAAACATGGGGATTCAGAGAAAAAGCCAAGATCTTTCAGCTGTGAGAAATTCTACTACAGACATTTAGACATAGTGGAACAAAAAGAAGAAGGAAAATGCAATGGAGGGTATACTGGGAAAGCCACATCTTCTTAAGTTAGAAAAATCTGAGGTGACAACTTGGGTCTATAATAAACATGTGTCATTGAGAAAATCATTGGGTTCAGATAAACCACAGTATTCTCAGTTTTAAATGGGATTATATCTATCATGTTATATTGTCCCATGAAGATTAAGTGAAACATTAGAAACCATAGGTGAAGTATAGTATTTGTTTCATAGTAGATAAATGCTTATATGAGATTTTTAAAAAGGGAATCACAAATACAGGGGTGAAATGGCAATAAAGGTGGTTTAGTGTTGTGTTACAGAATTGTGAGATGACAGATATTAAGATCCTTCAGTCTATAATCAGATGGATATCAAGTGGTCCCAGATATAGGATGAGAAGTAATGTACATAAGAAACCTGCAAGAGATTGTCACTGACCTAATCAGTGGTGATCAAGAATAGTGAATTGACTGATAGTTACTGTTTCAAATTTGCCAAGAATTATTTGAATAATTTCATATATACATTTCCTAATCAGTAGATACTAGATATTGGATAATCCAATACTAGATTGGATTATTTTTTTTAATTTTTTATTTTTTTTTAATTTTTTTTCAACGTTTTTATTTATTTTTGGGACAGAGAGAGAGAGCATGAATGGGGGAGGGGCAGAGAGAGAGAGAGACACAGAATCGGAAACAGGCTCCCGGCTCCGAGCCATCAGCCCAAAGCCTGACGCGGGACTCGAACTCACGGACCGCGAGATCATGACCTGGCTGAAGTCGGACGCTTAACCGACTGCGCCACCCAGGCACCCTGTTATTTTTTTTTAAATTTTTAAATGTTGATTTATTTATTTTGAGAGAGAGGGAGAGAGAGAATCCCAAGCAGGCTCTGTGCTGTCATCCTAGAGCCTGATGTGTGGCTCAAACTCATGAGCCATGAGATGAAGACCTGAGACAAGATTAGGAGTTGGACGCTTAACTGACTGAGCTACCCAGATGCCTCTAGATTTGGATTCTGACTCAGATTGGTTAATTCAACACATTTCTAAAAGTAGAAGAAAATAATGATGGCATCCTTCTTTGTCAAAATCATATACTGTGCTCCTAGCTTATTTATTGAAAACACATTCGTGAGTGTTTATCATGAGCCAGGGAAATGGTCTTTAACAATCATGACCAGGACCTTTTATTTACAACAAATAGCACTAGTTTCTATAATTCCCTATAGTGAATGTATATACTTTCTTTTCAGACATATGTGCACATAGTTATTTATACCCTCAAAGGATACCCAAACTGTGGACTGCTAGATGTGACTGATCACTATTTCTTATCATTTGACATGTGGCTCTGCATTCCATAATGGTCATCCAGTCATTTGAAATACTCATAGACTGTGGTTCCTAGACTGCCTTACTCACCTCTATCTGGAAATTAGTTCATATAGGTTAGACGAAAATATATTCCAAAATATTTGGCTTTAAATATGAATGTATTCTGGGGGCACTTGGGTGGCTCAGTCAGTTGAGTGTCCGACTTCAGCTCAGGTCACAATCTCACGGTTTGTAGGTTGGAGCCCTGAGTCGGGCTCTGTGCTGACAGCTCAGAGTCTGGAACCTGCTTCGGACCCTGTGTCTCCCTCCCTCTCTTGCTGCCCCTCCCCCATTTGCGTTCTGTTTCTCTCTGTCTCTCAAATAAACGTTAAAAAATTTTAACAACAAAAATAAATAAATATGAGTGTACCATAAGACCCTTTTGACCTATAAAATCTTTCATTAGAAACTATCACCCTGGAATGGAATCAATGTTCTTCAAGCTAACTTCTGCCACAGCAAAATATTCAGTGCCCACAACAACTCTGGCATGATGGTATTCTACTTGCTCACCAGGGACATTTATATCAGCAACAACTTGGTGAATGGCATTTTAGTAATCCAGGAAAGTTAAATTAGGGTTTAAAGTTTCTTCTAAGCCAATGTATTGTTCCGCTATTACTATATTAATTCGATATAAGGTCACAAGTATAGACATTACTGTGATCATATTTATAAAATAAATTGCAACTTCTTGTATATAGAAAAAACCAAGAGTAATTTAAATGTAGACGTTCACTAACATGTCAGAGTTTATACATTAAAATCAAAATGAGTACTTATTGCCAGATCAAGAATTAAAGGGCTTGCTTCTCAGTTCCTTGAAACTGTTGCATTTTCCCTAAGAAAAACATCCAACAAAATAAACACAGGGACAAACTAGGAATAAACGTTACTGTAGCCCCATGAATTAAAATCATTTAGAGGGGCGCCTGGGTGGCGCAGTCGGTTAAGCGTCCGACTTCAGCCAGGTCATGATCTCGCGGTGAGTGAGTTCGAGCCCCGCGTCAGGCTCTGGGCTGATGGCTCAGAGCCTGGAGCCTGTTTCCGATTCTGTGTCTCCCTCTCTCTCTGCCCCTTCCCCGTTCATGCTCTGTCTCTCTCTGTCCCAAAAATAAATAAACGTTGAAAAAAAAATTAAAAAAAAAAATAAAAAATAAAATCATTTAGATAATGTGGAAGGCTATAAAAATTAATAATTTTCTATGAAAAGAAGTGGGAATTGAAACTGATCCATTAACAATTTAAAAATGAATTAGCATATTTATATAGAAGTATTTTGGAAATGTATATTATCTGGGATTAAATATTCTATGGTTTTCTGTATTCTATTTGATGAGTAAATCATCTACATGTAGATTTCCAGGGCTTTCCAAAAGACTTCACACTCCTTAAACCTTTTCAAATACCATATGAATCCCTTAAAGGAAAAAAAAAAGAGAGAGACAAAAAGACGTGATTTAGCTTCTATCACCACTAACACTTTTATTTCCCCTAGCCTCACCAGCTTTCACCAGCTTCTTATTTATGTTTTTATTTATTTGTTGCCAGCTTTTTAGACTCAGATATTTCCTGGCTTGTCTATAACCATCACAGGCTACTATTACCTTGAACATATTGTATCTTTTCTTATAAGAGTTCAAATATTTTCATAAGAATTTAAATTCCTAACTCTCCATCACATATAACCATAACTGATACGAAATGTGGCATGTAGAAAACATATTTATCTACATCTGTGAAGTTATAAAAACACACTTATTTTCACTTAACTACCTGGAAATAAAAAACATGCATTATTCTACCTGGATGAGGAAACCAAGCAGTGAAACAGAATCTTTTGTTCATATTCATGCAGGAAAAAAATGTGGAAAAAAGAAACTACCTCTAAAACCCTTGGAAGTCTCAAACAGTTGAAGCTCCATTTTCTCTTTCTTGAGAAATATTCACTTTCCAAAATATATTTGGTCTATTTGGGGAATATATTCAGGTACTAATCTCTAACCCAGTCTTTGAGAAATTTATTTTAAACTTCTGCCAAATTCACTGTTTTAATTATGCAAGACTCACTAGTTTAATAAGCCCACTCTACAGCCCACTGCTCAAAGTCTTTAACAGCAGGATTCTAATAGAGCCAGGTCCAACATGCAAATGGTGCCATCTGTATCACCACATCCACTCCAGCAGCACAGCTATTAAATTAATAGTACAGTCTGCAAGATAAAACAGCAGAGATTCCCATCATGTGGAACCAGTTGAGTTTCTGTTTAACCTCCAGCAGACTGAAACACGTAGCCAGTTCAGTCATGGCTAGCTTAGTTAATCCATGCCCGAGAGCTGTGTCCAATTTCCCTGACCAAAGGAATGAAGGACCAAAAAAGGAAAGGGAACGGTAAGAAGACATTAGTTCCCTAAGTACAAATATAAATAGGTTTCAATTGAGTAAGCTTCCATGTCCCTGATTGTATAAGGATTGGCTGACCAGTCTGGAATGAATTCAAACATTAGGATTGAAGACATAATATCTGCTGAATGATTTAAGCTCTTCACAAAAAGGAAGTACAGGAAGTATACTAAAACCGGCATTTTAATATAGATTGACATATTGGTATCCTTTAAGGTTAAGTAGAACTTCTATTACATGAAACTTCACTATTTGCAACTTTGCCATTTACTGCAGATAGTTTTACATTAGACAGCCTTGACATAATAAACACTAGACAAGATTCAATTTCTATCCCAGAAAAATTATTTCATTTTCTTCCCTTATCACACAAATACAGTAATTATAAGGTTTTAATTTTTTCCCTAACTCACCTAAAAAACACGTGAGATTGATCATTGAGGAAACCTGGGCATATTTAGAAATATATCCCTTTGAAAGCTTCCTATAAGTTTCTTTAAAGTTTTATGACTACAAGGCCACTCCTGGAAAAGTGATGCTTGATAAAATGAGCAAGACAATGTTCGCCATTATTAATATGCCTCTATTGCAAGATTGCAGGTACTGGATTCATTTGAGTTGAAAGGGATATTAATCATCATGTTGTCACTGTCCATGCACCCCTTGAGGCTGGTAAGAAAGTTGTGGGGCCGTAGCAGTCAGCAGTGAGCCAATAAAATGACTGCATTTCTGTGCCAAAGATTTTAAAGGTTCTAAGTGGCATAAAAAATTCAAGGTTAAAAAAAATTTGAACTCTGACTAATTACAGTAACTTATTCAAAGAAGAAAAAATGTTTGCTAGTAAGTCAAAAATTATATTCACAGTACTATCTCAGTAAGTAAAAACTGGTTGTAAGTCATTTAAAGATTGTCACGTTTGATTCCAATTATTAAATATTACATATATATTTATACCTGAAGTTAACTGAGAAATAAAGGTGTTCATCTAAATACTACCAAAAATGTTACAACAAGAGAACACTCAACATGAAAATTTTTGTTGCTCCTGTTTGAATACACAAAATATGTATCCTAAATAAAAAAAGAAGAAGAAACACAATATTAAACATTTACCTTTAGGTACTATTTTCCTTTCAGGTTTCTCCTGCTTTTCAGTCTTGTCTTTGTGTATTTCTAGAAAAACATAGAATTTATACTTTAAAGACTATTTTTGAAAATATACAATATATAAACTATAACTGTGATCTAAACTTTAAAATTCCACCATGAAGTCTAAGGTATAGGTATCTAAATGGAAAAAGTCACTGTAACATGTTGCTGCATAAATCACTCACTTATTGAAATAAGGGAAAAAAATGAATTTACCTCAAAATTAGTGCTATTTGAAAAAGCTTAAAAACTTGCATCAATGAGGATATGTTGTCACTGTTTTCAGTGCTAAAATTGATCACAAACTATAATTATGTTTTATTTCAATTACTCTCAATACAATTAAGAATCCTTAGTAAGAATGTCATTTAGATTGAGGAAGATTTCATTTTTACATATTAAATTAAGAATTTGTGAAATGAACTGTAACTACCTAATAGGAAATATATCTCAGAAGTATTGAGTCTAAGTTATGTTTATAATCAGAATTTGGCATTGCATTTAACCCATAATTACTGCATGCAGATATGACACATTTCATGGAATAAGTCAGTCGTTACATTTTTTTCTAAATATCAGATTTTAACAAATATATTTAATTTGCTGCTAGCTTCGGTATACATACATTGCCAAGGCTTAGAAAATGAAGTTAATTCTGAATTTGCAGTTAATTTGGATGGAACTAAATTAGATATTAGAGTTTACAAATATGATTACTACCTCTGAAAAGTGACTTAGTCTTAATACCATGGTTTATCTTTGAAAAATGCTAATGAGATTTACTTATTTATTTATCACAACTTTATTTCACAGATGATCTGAGATGGTGCTAATTACTGTACACATTTTAAATTCTCCGTTTGTAAATGTGAATTTGCATTTTTGTAATTTTTCCAGAAGTCTAAAATCAAGACCAACCATAGGAAAATCCTAAGTATCTTCAGGAAAAACAATTAGTGATTTTCACCTGTTAAGGAGGTAATTATCACTGTGAAAATGTCCTCTCTTTGTTTATTCCATGAATCCATCATCACACTATATTTGGGGCCACTCCTTTACCCTTATTCCATCCCTGGCTTTGATATGGCAATGGAGATACAAAAGATTAAGATACTTTATCTCATCCCTGGTAAAATTTCTCCAAGTTTCAAAGAAAGATCTTCAAAGACCACAGGAAACTTACATTTTCTTGTCTGTCTCACCATTTTTAAAAAAAAAATCTGTTCTCTATAGGTCTCCAAATCTTACTCCCAAGTGTGTGTGTGTGTGTGTGTGTGTGTGTGTGCATGTGTGTGTGTGTGTTCAGATATCTGTTGGCCAGTTATCATCAGTCCTTTTTAAGGTGGGTAAATCATTATTTGGGGGTGGAATAGGTTATTCTGTGCAATCTATGATATTTAGCAGCAACCCTGGCTTCTCCTGTTAAATGTATGTGGTAGTTCCATCCCCTGTCATGAAAAATGAAAATGTCTTTAGACATTGAAAAATGTCTATAAAAAATGTCTTTAGATATTGCCAAATGCATTCTGTAGGGCAAAAGGAGCCCTAAAGAATGTGTTCAGATGACTCAGGACAGTATTTATTTTGATTACCTTGTGCTTTTGGTTTCTGTAGTATTTCTCTAATTATGAAAGAAGAATAGTGTTGCACTATACTGAATTATCATATAGAGGTATATGTGTAGAAAATTTTCATCTGTGTTCAGTTTGCAAAAGCAAAATAAAGTTGCATCTTATCGGCTATAGGCAATAAAACTACCATAAACCTTATTTAACACACACACAAAGAATTTATATTTTTAGAACCGTCTAAACATATGAAATAACCTACTTAATCACTGTTACTTTGGACCTGCACTGCCTGGCAATAGCCACAGGACTCATGTGGATGTTAAAGACAGGGTATGAGATTAGTCTAACATTGAGATGTGATGTAAGTGTAAGTACATCCTGGATTATGAAGATTTAGTATAAAAAATATGTACAATATCTCATTAATGATTTTATATTAATAACATATTGGGATGATATGATTTGGGGCATATTTAGTGTGATCATTTTATTTGTGTGGCAACTTGGGCAGACTACTATTCCAAGTCATTCAAATGAACACTAATCTAGGATTTGCTGTGAAGGTATTTTACAGATGTAATTAAAATCCCTAATCCATAGACTTTAAATAAGAAGATGATTCTGGATCATGAAGTTTCCCAAGGAGGAGAAAGAAATTCTGTCTGGGGATGACAGCTTTGGTCCCTGCCTGTGGGTTCAATTTTGCCTGTGATTTTTCCTTTCCTGACTGCTGTCCTATGCTTAGCCAGTCCCCACAATCACATATGCCAATTCCTTGTGATAAATTTCTTAATATATAAATATATCTGCATAATCTCCTACTGGTTCTGCTTTTCTGGTTGAGCCCTCACTGAGACCCTGATTAGGTTAAATAAGACATGTCATTAAAATTAATTTCATATTATTCTTTTTACATTTTAAATATGTGGCTACTTGAAAATTTTAAACTGCGTATGTGGCTCACACTGTATTACTATCAGCCAGTGCTGGTTTAGTCCTAGGAGTGGGCAAACGACCTTTGAAAAACCTTAGGTCATCCACAGAGTTCAATCTTTTACAAATGAAAAAGAAACTTGAAATTCTCCCTTGCCAGTACTATCTTGCTTCCTCCTTCCTATTCAGATCAACAGAGGCCACAAAGATTGGTGCCTTGTATAAATCAGGCCAATAAAGCAAGTAAAACGCCAAAGATTTAGAGTAGTCTGGACATGCTAAGGGAGTCACCTTTAAGAGATAATTTCTTACTCCTAGTTGGGATTGATTTGAAAACAGAAATGGGATGAAATCTTCTAAATTAAAAGCTTACTTGAAATGCTACCTTCATTGTTAGAGAAGAAGGTCTTAAAGTTGTCATTTAGAATAATATTCTTCCTTTAGAGGTAAGTGCGTGTGCATGTGTGTGTGTGCATGTGTGTGCATGTGCATGTTCCGCAGACATCTATTGGCCACTCAGAAGAATAAAGCAGAGGTTCTGCAGCTCCCACAAAGGATCAGACTTGGGTTAGAATTTTCTGCAGGATCAAGTGCTAAAGGCCATCCTGCTTGGGCAAACCTGTCAGAGCCTCCTACCCTAATTTCATTTGGGGAAATACGCTGGACAGAGTGGTGTTTTGTGGGACTAGACAACCCATGTTCATCCATGGCTGGGTTTCCTGCAAGGCAGGTGGATGTTTGCACATAAGAAAACAGAAATAAGAAGCAGTAGCAGGAGCCAATTCGGCACCCCTTAGCTCTAGCTCCTTTGTACACAGCAGTATCCCATCAAAAGGGAATGAGCTGTAGATTGTGATCAGCATTGAAATGAGCAGAAGTCCATTCTAGAGGGAAAAAAATAAAGTGAGAGAAGACAAATCTCAACAAGGTTGGGATCAAGAGCACCATTCATGAAAAGGCAGGGGGAAATCTGATTTCCAAATACACGGAGAGAGTTAACTCCAAGAAGGAAGGTAAATCCTGGCATGTTGGATATATTTCACTACACATTTTCCTTAAGCAAAAATATAAATAAAATGAAACTAAAAGAGAATTAGACTGAAAAAATGGCAATATATTTCTGAGTATTTGTTTTTTACTCAACAGTAAATGGAGCAGACACAACCCAGTCCTATAACTCAGACCAATCTCAAGGATAAAGCCCTATTTTTTTTTTTTTTTCCTGACTCCATCCTTCAGTCTTTTATGAGGACAGTCTCATGGCTCTGGACAGATCTACTTAGATTTCTCATAAGTGGAGGCAGGGATCATGGATTAAAATACACACACATACACAATAAGATCTTTATAGGTCACAATGAAATATGATGACTTACACAGGCATTTTCTTGTGTGCAGGACTGTCATCAACTAAATTTTTAACTCACTCGAAGACCCTTAGTATTTCTGTAGAGGCAAATGAAGACTCACACAGCTAACCTTATAAAGGCATACATAGGCCTACATTTCTCTGCTTATAGAAGACAAAAGAAACTTATTTCTTATGGTTGAGACTTAAGGATAAATTACATCTCTCTCTGCATGTTTTACTGCAACACTGAATTTTCTTTGGTGACTGCATTCTATGGCAAGTGTCAATGCCTGTGACTATCAGATGCCTGGAGAAACCAATGAAGCCTCTGCACATGTGCCAGTTCTATCTCCTTACACTTGAGCCAGGAAATGATAACCATCCAGGCTCTTGTCCAATTGAGTAACAATGTCCTTCCAATTTAGACTTCAGAAGGATCTTTTTCTCACAAGCAAATGATGTTTGATTTGTTACTCTCAACTGCTCTTTCCAGCTAAGAACCATTTATATAAGAATGTAAAATTAAATTTTAAAGATTCAAGTCACTAAAGGTAGAACTTTATCACCCTATGGTTTTCAACAAACTTCCAAGAAAAATAAAATTCCCTGTATTATATTACAACTGGCTTCCAGTTATTTGCTAATTTCCATAGACTGGTGAATAACTCCATTTTGTGTAATATGACAATAATGTATAATCGCATAAAATTGCATTTAACATCATGACACTGTTTAGAAACAGTTCACTTAGACCTGCACAAATCCTGGGTATGAGGGACAAAGAAGAAGATCAAAGCAGTTGTTATTTACCTCCAAATATATGTGTTTTCCAATTAGATTAATGCCCAGTGTCTATTAAGACATTATAATAAGTCACAGCACCAGATGCCAGTTGGAATCATAAGACATTCTGGTAACCAGTAAACCTTAAAGATTGTTTTGTGGCTGAGAAGGCACAGAAGTCAAAGTATCTCAATCCAGGTGTGAGACTGCCCACAGGCCCTTAAGGATACAAATCTATATTTGAAATTTGAGAATTGGAGAAGGGAAAAATAATATGGAAGAAGAGCAATAATTATCTCAATGTGTCAGGAGGGAAAAAGGAGTCATCAGTAACCGTACCTTAGAAGAGTGGAGCAGTACTCCACTGATGTTTACAGTGTTGGTAA